AATATGCAAAACTATAAAACAAAGAATAATTAACATTTTGATTAACATTTTGATGTATGTTCTTCCAGTCTTTGTTCTGCCGTTGTTACATAGTTAAAATCATACAAAATATTAGAAAAATAGCCATTATTTTTTGAGCACTTACAACATACTGAACCAAATGCTTTACATATACCATTTGATTCATCCTTAATGATCCTATGCAGTAGGTGTCATTACCCCCATTTTATAGATTATCATCTCTAAGAAGGCTGTGCACTTAGTCTGGCTGCCTGGGGGGAAACTGAAACACTTTCCTGTTGTAACTCCATCCCCTGCTAACAACAGCCAAGCTGAACACATAGGTATTGAAAGTGAAAGGCGGAGGCCTGCTATGGGTTCTTCTCTCCCAGGAGACTGAGCTATAATTCTGTCTTTAGCTGGAACATGAACATGATATTCCTGGGTGTGTGAATGATGGCATTACTGTCCCTCTGCCTGACTAATCCTCACTCCCATTGTACTTCATGGGCAGAAACATGAGTTTTGTTCACATATGTAATCGAAGCTGCAGTCTCTTAACAGAAACTTTGAGTCTAGCCAAGGGACTGTGTAGTTGCTTGGGTCCCATTGCTTGTGATTGTGGGGAGCCTTGAGAGCCACTTTGGATTTTCTACTTGAGATTCTCCCACTCTTCTGACTTCTGTTCACTGCAGAATATTTGTCTGTGTGATGGTGATGTGGGGGGCAGAAGACATGGTGGCAATGGAAGGGAGTGTCTTCAGACATACGGGAATGACCCAGAGACTCCTTCCTCGGGGAGGTTCCCCAAGGGGCTGTACCTCTGAGTGGGAGTCACAGAAATGGGTTTGGTGGCTTTGTTGTCAGTCATTGTGGGGATGTAAGTAAGCATGCTGGAGCCTGCACCTCAGGCTAAAAGCCAAAGTGGGGCTTCTGACTCTGTATAAACCCAAATATGACCAATGGGATTTTATAGCTCAAAGGATATATATATTGCAAAGGCCTACATCAAATAATGATAGCCCCCAATTATGTAGTGTTTGACATAGTCAGGCACTTTACGTGCATGAACTCGCTTACCCTCACTATACTCCTAAGAGGCAGAAACTAGTGTTAAATTCATTGGGGATGTAGCTCAGTTGGTAGAGGGCTTGCCTCGAATGTACAAGGCCTCTGGGTTCAATCCCCAGCACCACACACACACACACACACACACACACAAACAAATAATAATAACAATAATAGGCAAATCTAACTGTATGTTAATTGTACCTCAATAAAATTGACACAAAACTTGTTTTAAAAAAAAAATGAAGAAATTGTTTGAATGAAGAGAGCTGTTCTTCTCCACAGAAGAGAGTTCCTAGATGCATGGAGAGTTCCTGCCCATTGGTAAACATGGCCTAACCTGTGTTCCCACTCCACTGGAGGAAAACTGAGGTGGGGGTCAGAGGAGAGCCAGGCAAACATTCCTCCCTCCACTTGCTGGGATTACCAAGGCCAAACCATTGTTCCAATCCCACTGAGGAGTACAAGGAGAATCTGATCCCAATTGAATCCAAAAGGCAATGAGAGCCAGATTCTGAAAAATAGGCAACACCATGCATGCCAAGTCCCCACTTACTTTCCCTCCATCCCATCTTCCTCTCCTGCCTCTGGGTGCCCACTGAGCATCTTGCCTGAGCCCTATTCTGACAGCCCTGGCTCTTCACAAGGGTGAAGTTACCAGGCTTTTGAGTTAAATGCAGGTGGCTCAGGCCTGTCATTAACTAGTTCTTACTGACATTCAGCAAATCAACTCTTTGGAGCTCCCATTTCCACAACCTGAAAGTGGAGATAGTAATACCTCCCAGCAGGGGTGCTAATGGGTCTAGAGATGGTTGTCTCTAAAGCCCTTAGCTGAGTCCATTCAGCTGCTGAAATATTGCTAGAGGATCCCAATAGCTTTCTGTTCCAGAACACCAGATCCCAGTCAATGAGAATCAGCCCCAAAGCACCAAAGAGGCAGAGAGATCCAGGACTCCACAGACTACAATTTCCTAGAGACTTACTGCAAAAGTATGGTCCCAAGTAAAAGCAAGACCAGGTGGATCCCTATGATTTGGGTCAGGAAGACAGGGCCTATAAAGTGGCTGCATCCAAACCAGAATGTACCTGGCTTATCTTCAGCTAATATGAAAGAAAAAGGCCAGGGTCTGGTCGTAGGCACTGCATACCTCTTCAGTGGTTTTGTTTATTTATGGAATGCTGGGAGACTACATAGGAAAAGTGACCAGGGTGACTCAGAGGCCATCATGGGAGTTATGACTCAAAGTAGCTGCAATCAGTTCAAGCTGAATCCTTACACCTTTGAAGGACATTTGGGCTCCAGTGGAGGGTCCCTGATAACCAAAGGCAATGAAGAATCCAAAGATGTGGCGACAGAATTCCAGGGAAGCAGGCAGGGTGATGGTATCCGGGCCTTCGTACAGACCAGGGCAGAGTTCTCTGTTCTCTTGCCCACTTGATGTTAGTGGTAAACCACGGTGTGGTGGACAAAAGGCATAACTAGCAGCCAGAGAACGACTCCAATGGACTTTGTAAAGTCATATATTAAAGCATTTTGAAAAAACAAAACATTTCAAAGATTTTAGTAATAAAATTAAAATGTGGCGCGGGTCCCTTTCAAATGGAATGTGATGGCTTGACCGCTTTGTGCAGAAGAAGAGAGCACTGATGACAGGACAGAGAGGTCAAGCCCCATAGTTTTAGCCCAAGGAAATGGCTGGGTAGGGCAGCTTCTCACACTCTCAGGTTGTGAAGCATCACCTACGGGTCTTGGTCAGGTGCTGTGCCTGAGACTGCTTCTAACAAGCTCCCTAATTATATGCTGATGATCCACCCACCACACTTAAGAATCAAAGCAGGCTCTTCGCCCAGCACTTATTTTAGTCCAGAGGGTCATTTAATGCCACTTCCCACGTAGATACACATAATCTCTCTTTGTGCCTGAATGATTCCGGAATTGTCTTTCCAGCCCCCAAGAATGGCCTGAAAGGGACCCGCACAGGAACTGCTTCAGGGAGACCTCTGTGACTGAACTGTGGACTGCCTCCCACACTCGCCCTCTGCTGGTGAACAGGGATCATTTTCTCCCAAACTCTCACCCAGGCTTTCTTGCTGTTCCAATGCTCATTTTCCCCTTCCAATACAACAGACAGAAAAATAGGACATGCTCCAGAGGCTTGTTTCATTCTTGTACATTTTGGAGAATTTCTCCACTCTGCTCCTTAAAGGACCTTCCATCCCTCCGGAGCGGGGGTAGATAAAACATTTGGTGGCAGCTCACGTTTCTCTGTGTGTCCTAAAAGTCTTCCCTTACCCCAGCTTTCTTCCTGCCCCACCCCAGGTACTTTCTACAGGGAAGTGACAAGCCTTCATTCACTCACAGCCTGGGCATGGCCAAATCAGGGGAGCAATGGCTTCTTTAGATTCATTGAGGTTGGGGTGAGTTGTGGAGGCACATATGGTATAATCCAGAGACCCCAGAAACAGACCCATTAAGAGAATAGGGAGCTGGGCATGGTGACACATGCCTGTAATTCAGAGACCTGGGAGGTTAAGGGAGAAGTATGGAAAATTCAAGGCCAGCCTGGGCAACTTAGCAAGACCCTGTCTCACAGTATAAAGGACCAGGGATGTAGCTCAGTGGTAGAGCAACCCTGAGTTCAATCCTCAGTACAAAAGAAAGACAGAGAGAGAGAGATGGGGAAATGAAGAAGTTCAAGTTACAGATTCTATTATCATTAGTCATTCATTAAAACATAATCGCCTTTTAAGTGCAAGAATTTGGACAGAAAACAGGTTTCCTAGCCCCTACCCACTAAGATCAGAACTCACTAGTGGAAATAAGCATAATAGCTAAGCTTTGTGTTTACTATTTGCTATATGCCAAGCAGCGTACTTATATTACCTTCATTTTCTTTAATCTTCGCAACAATCTTATGACCACCCTTATTGTACAAATGAGAAATTCAAGATGCAAAGACATTAGGTGACACTTTAGTGAATTATAAAGTCTAGTGGTTTAAAAGAACAGCTAGTGATTATTGCTCATGGCTCTGATGTTTAATGGGCTCAGCTGGCAAGTTCTCATGTGGGGTCCCTAACATCACAGCCGTCAAGTAGTGGCCAAGGCTGGGTGTGCATGTCTGGGGCTGAAGATGGAACTGGGGGTTAGCTGGCATCTCTGCCCATGAGGCCTCTCCACATGGCTAGCTTGGACCTCACCACTTGACAGTGACAAGGTAGATAGACACTTAGATGGTTGCTGACTAGACAGACAGAAATCACAAAATTCCTTAGGACCTATATGATAGTGTGTGGCATTATACCATTATATTCTGTTGGCCAAAACAGTTATAAGTCAGCTCAGACTCAAGGGGTAGAGGAATAGGCTTTACATATCAATAAAGGAATAGCTAACAAGTAAAGCAAGGTAAGAAATTAATCAAGTCCATCTTGGAGACAAATCACCGTACCAAGATTTGGCCCTAAACAGCTTGACTCCAATCTTTGCATGCTCAGCCATTATGCTCCCTTCACCCCCACACAGTATCTACTGGTGGCTAGAAGAAGTTGTAATGGTGGTATGGAGAAGGGAAGTGATTAGTGCTGCCTCAGTAGGTCAGGGAAGGTTCCCCATAGGAGCAAATATCACACCCCACCCCACGCCTTCAGTGTGAAAGCAGACCGTCTGCACTGGAGAGCATACTATCCCGGCATTGTGTACCATGATCTTAAAGCTGAGGACAAGAAACAGCTCTTAGACAGCATACAGAAAGGGACTGACCCGGAAATGAGGAGCCCTGAAGTCTAATCCCTCCTGTGCCTTGATATCATTCTGGGCTTTTGAGAGGACCCAGAATGCCAAGAAATGAAAGAGATGGGGGCCCCAAGCCTCTCAGGACATCAGCAGAGTGGAACTTCTGACGATCTGTGCTCTGCTCCATCCACCTCAGATCAGAGACCCACACTTGGTGATCTGCATGGACTGCTCGGCAGACACCATGACCAACCGTCTGCTCCAAAGGAGCCAGAGCAGCCCGCACATGGACAACGCCTCCAAGACCATCGCCAAGCGTCTGGAAACCTACTACAGAGCCTCCATTCCTGTGATCGCCTACTATGAGACGAAAACCCAGCTACGGAAGGTGAGTCATTTCATGCCCTCCTGTGACCCCCAAAATGAGCCATTTGCCCCTTTTCAAGAAAAAAAGGTCTGGGAAAGATGGTTATGGGATCTGGAACTGCATGCAACTGCAGAATTGGGCCAAGATATGAGCTCCTGACTTTTCTTCACCATGGTCTCAATCAAAAACAGTTATCTATTATATAGACTAACAAAACTTGGTCACATATGTTTCACAGATGGCATTATACTTGCTGAAAACTGCCTTTTCCAAGAGAGAATGGGTGGGACATAAAGTTTCTGCCATGGACTCTGGATGACCTTGGCTAAATAGGATGATCTGAAAGGTCTCTTCTAGATCCAAGATGTGATGCCTTCAAGTTCTAGAGTTTACACAGTTCATGATTGGCACTTGGCTCCTTTGCCTCAATTTCTTGCAATAATTAATGTTCTGGGGAGAAGCAGCATATGGGGCCAGAGAAGCAGGTAATAGGTGAAAGAGGGGAGATGCTGTGGGGAGGTGGCAGTTTCAACTTAATGTTCATGAGTTGTTACCCAAGCTCAGGCACCATCATTAATACAGGTATTTGGTAAACTGCTTGGTCCCTTTGCTTCACTCACTCCATGGCTGGGTGTGAGGTGCCCATGTTCCACACATTGCTCTAGTTGTTTAGACGCAGTTCTTGCCTACATAGCTTAAGGGGTTAGTGGGGAGATGGACACACCTGGGATCGCAGGATAGGTTCAAAGCAAGCACAGAATGCCTCTTCTCTAGTCTGAGGAAAGGTATCCAGGAAGGCCGCCTGAGAAGTACCAGGCAGAGTGTCCACCGGGTGCCGTGTGGGGAACAGGGCACTCCATGCAGAGGGCACCCTGAGTGAAAAGGTCAAGAGGGACACATCACTCCACTTGACCGTGAAACACACCAGGAAAACAGGGACAAAGATGGGTGTGGAGAGGAAAGCAAGGACTAGATCAAGAGGAACCTTACATAGGAGCCACTAATTGCCCTTTGGGTGAATGGGAACTACCAGAGGGGGCAGATGGAATCAGGGCTCCAATCTCAAAGCTCACCCTATTGCCTTGGGCAGAAAGGATACAAGAAGGTAAGGCTAGGATGCCCCCAGGAAGCTGTGGCAGATGTCAGGAACAAAATCCTGAGGCCCTCCCACCAGGTGAGAGAGTGGGGCTCTGCCTCTTGCTAATCATAGGACTTAGAGGCACCAAACAGTAAACAATCAAGACTTGTCTCAGAGATGACATGGTCAATTCCTTGGGAAAAACCACTGGGAATGAATTCATATCTTCTAAACCCACAATGGTCCACTCTCCAGAACACTAAGAAGCCCTGGATATACTGAAAGGTGACTCTTAATATAACTCAGGATATCAAATGCTTCCTGGAATGCTTCATGTAACCTCTTATTGCCACATAAAGTGAAGACTAAAATCTTCAAAAACAAACAAAAAGTGCATCATATAAGAGCGCAGTCTTAAAAATTCAGGGTTGAAAAGGCCTGTCCAGATAGGTCTTCTAGTAATTTTGTGCAGCCTGGAACACACACAGAATTTTCCAGGTAGAAAGGAAATTTCATACTCTTTCAAAGATGCATAAAGATGAGAACATCTCTAAGGAATTCGGGGTTTAAACTAATCTCAGAGTCAGAAAATCCCTTTTCTCTCTCTTAAATTGTTCCAACCTGAATTCTACAGATTCACAAATGACTGGCACATGGACACAGGGCTCACAGATCTAAGAGAAATCTGACTTCTGGAATCCACCTTGGAACTTTCTTAAATTCTGAGTTTCTAATGGGAAAGGAAAATTCCAGTCCCCTTCAGATCATCTCTTCAGCTTCCCCTACATTTTGGAGATGCTAGCAGCTGGGTCTGTAGTGAGGTAACATTTATGAGCCACTCTGCAAATATGTAAAACAGACTCCAGCCCTTGAGCCTCCTGGGGGACTGCGGGGAGAAGCTGCTCTGTCCCTCTGCCTGAGCGTGTGGGCGGCTGTCTGCCACCCATGCAGATAAAGCCAGAACTTCTTACACACTCGGGGATAGGAGTATGTGGCACAGGTATACCCCAGGTTTCTGCTTTCTGCCTCTCTCATACCCTCTGGAAAAGAGGACTTTCTCCATCTTATCCCTTCCTCCATGCACTTCAGGCAGACGCCATCAACCAGTGGTGGCAGAATCTGGACTCAGCAGCACAGAGCAACCCAGTAGACTAGAGTCACCCACAGGAGGAAGATTTCTTTCACTGTGACTGAGAGAATTTATTATTGAATAAATAACTGAGGTGTAGCATTTGGGTGAAAAGCACCAGTGCTAGCCAAACACTCCCTGGTGGAGACATCAAAAAGCCCCTGACCCAGTTTGGAAACTTTGGTGAGTCATTTCATTGTTTAGCCTCTCAGTTTCTCTTCTTAAAATAAAGTGGGTGGACAGAACATACTCTCCTGGAATTCTCCAAGTCTGTCACTCTACAATTCTTGGAGAAAAAAAAAATTTTTTTAAATCTAATTACAAAAGTAATTAATGCTTGTTCTAGTAGAAAACAGCTGGGTACAGTAGTGCACCTATAGTCCCAGCAATGCAGGAGGCTGAGGCAGGAGGATTGCAAACTCTCAGTTAGTCTGAGTAACTTAGTAAGACCCTGTCTCAAAATAATTTCTTTCTTTCTTTCTTTTTTTTTCTTTTGGTACCAGTGATTAAACCCAGGGGCATTTAACCACTGAACCACATCCCCAGTTCTTTTTTTTTGAGACAGGGTCTCACTAAGTTGCTTAGAGTCTTGCTAAATTGCCGAGACCAGCTTTGAACTTGCAATCCTCTTGCCTGGAATTACAGATGCACACCACCACGCCCAGATTGCTGTGAGTTTTTAAAGCATGATTGTGACTATAGAGAATATTAATCTGGACTCCTTGTGGGTAACAGGCACCCAACCCAGCTAGTCTGACATGAAATGCAAGGAATGCCACCAAATGCCGAAAGCAGGCCCTAGAGTGGAGGGACCAGGCTTTAGCAAGCTCCCAGCTGAAGCCCTCTACTTCTCAAACATTTCTTTCCCTTCTTCTTTAGAATATGGTCACCTAACCATTTCCACATTCCCATGCTACCCTGACAATCTCTGATTCCCAGTTCCAAATCCCCAAGGAAAATTTTCGGATGGGCTTTGCTCTACTTAGGACCTAACTGATCCTATTAGGTAGGGACAAGCAGGTTGTCACAGGGGCTTTTCCAAGCTCCTGTGGGTGGGGACAAGGAATTCCCAGAAAAGGAGGGCTTGTGAGCTGAGAGAAACCACAGAGATCTCTGACACTGAGAGGTACAGAATTGCATAAATTGGTATTTACAGCCTCCCTTTTTTCTAAGCACAAAAGTAAGCAACTACACATTGTTTAAGAAAGAAACTAAAATATTTGAGCATAAAGATAAAAATTAAAATTATCCAGAATTCTTCCACCCAAAGATAATCATTGATGAACATCATGATATAATTTCTTATGCTTGTTTTTCTCCATTTTTACATGTGATTTGCACGTGGCATAATTAGCCTAGACACACCTCAGGCCATAGATAAAGAGGGCCTGATAACAGGTGAGATCTTACCTTGGGTTACCTCTTACTATTAATCATTTGAGAAAATAAAAAGAGAACAGTCATTCATTAAATGTGGGGTTTACAGATAGAGAAAATCAAGTTCCTTTGGCAACTCTGCCTCTGTAAAGGGGAGAATAAGCTTTTGTTGAGCTGCTCTTTGGCTGCCATGTCCCCCTTCACAAACAGTGTGGCCAAGTTTAGTCTCCTGACACTGCAGTGCTCAGTGTTGTTCCGGGTTATTTGTCTAGTGTCAAGCACTTGGATTTGCACACATGAGACCCTGGGTTCAATCCTCAATACCAAAAAAATAACAATTAAATTTTTTTAAAAAGTAATTATTTTTCTACCAAAAGATAGTAAACATTGCTCCCTTGTTTTCAGGTATTCAGTGTTATAGAGGAAAAGGCAGAGACAAATTTGGAAGTCAACTTGTTCAACTTTTTTTCAAATTTTTAAACATTTTCTTCATGTCATGCAGGAATTGTGTCCAGATATAAGTCTGTTTTTGTTGATTTTTAATAGCACTGATGACACTTTTTGTAACTCCAAAAAGATTTCTCTAATTAGCTTTGTTTTGTTATTATTGTTGTACTTGTTTCTGTTGTTGATGATACTTTTGGTTTGGGTTTTGTATTACCCAGGAATCAACCCCAGCACCTTGTTTATGCAAGCCAAATATTCTACCACTGAATACACCCAGCCCTATCTTGAGTACCTTTATGTACCACTGCTCCTTATTTTTCCTCAGGAACACACCATTCATAGATCTCCATTATTTGCCTTCCGTAAAAGCACAGTTCAATAGAAATATAATGTGAGTCATTTGAAATTTTCTACTAGCCACAGTAAACAGTAAACAAAACAACAGACTTTATCAACTTTGAAATCTGGTGTGTATTTAACATTTACAGCACATCTCAGTTCAGAAAAGCCACATTTCAAGTACTCATGAGTTACACGTGGCAAGTAACTTCTATATCAGAGAGTATAGTTCTACATTTAGACCTACACTGCTATTATTTTACCATCTGCTTTCTAGGAAAAATCTCACATTTGTCTTCAACATTTTTTAAAAATATTTTTTAATTGTTGATGGACCTTTATTTTAATCATTTAATCATATGCAGTGCTGAGAACTGAACCCAGTGCTAAGAGTTGAACTCTGCTACTTTGGAGTTCTCGCAGGGATTTCCTGGGGAGTTCGTGTTGGTTGGTGAAGTTCTGGTGGAGGGAGTTCCGATTGGTGTGGTGTGCCGAAGAGGAGCCGCGTGGGTGGCGTTCGGGAGAGTTTCTGGGGAGTGTGGTGGAGTGCTGTTGGAGTTCAGGCCATAAAGTTTCCTGCTTGAACATACAAGTGCTTTGTGGCGGCTCGATGATTTGTGCCTAGCCAGACTGCGGCAATCCTTCAGGTTT